GAAGGCACAAGCATTTGGGGGGGCAGAGCCTGGAAGCGAGAGTTTTAGCTGGGACTTGAAGGAGGCAAAGAGGTGGATGGACATGAGGAGGTAGAGCATCACAGGCATGCGAGACAGCCAGGGCAAAGTCATGGAGTGGGGTGTGTGGAGTACAGCAAAGAGGCCAGTGTCACACAGAGGGGAGTATGTCATAAAGAGAGTAGAAAGGCAGTTAGGGCCAGGTTCCAAAGGGCTTTGTACACCAGACAGAGGATTTTATATTTGATCCCAGAGATGATAGGGAGCCATTGGAATTGACTGAATTGGTCAGACTTGCACTTTAGCAAGTTCACTTGGGCATGTTGGCTTATCACCATCACCACCATCACCACCTCTACCACCACCACCATCATCACTAGTGAGCTCCTCAAGTTGTCCATCCTGCGATAAGAGAACCACTTGGAGACAGCACAGACAAGAATCCTGTACTGGGCAGGGGTTTGGACTACATGACCTCTTAGGTACTTTCCAACTTTGAGATACTATGGCTATTTGTTACCCATACCTCTCTTTAGGTTAATAATGACTCTTTCAACTCAAGCTAATGTCCAATCCACCATTGCCTGCTCCCTCTCTCTTTTCCTAACATAACCTTCATCTCACAGATTTTCCAGAGCAAGGTGCTACACGGAGTTGAGGGGAGGTTCCCAATTCTAAGAGTCAAGTAAGAAGTCTAGAGGACCTGTAGGAAGATAGGGGCATACAGAGAAAAGCTCAAGGTCATAGATATTGGGGGTGATACAGCAGAAAAAGTACTAGGTTTGGGGTACCAGGACCTGGGTTCAAATTCTTCCTCTGTTGCTTATGACCTGGGTGATTTTGGGTAAGGGCACTTTCCTTCCCTCCTGGGGCTTCAGTATTTTCATCTGTAAAGTGGAGGAATTGGCCTAGACTTTCAGGACCCATCCAGTTTTAAGTCTCTGACCTATGCTCTACAAAGGCTTCCTATTTCCTATGGACTCCATCAGAGGTCAGAGCAGGCTTCTTAGAAAAATCTTCTTGGCAGGCTGGTGAAGCCTAGGGACCCTTCTCAGAATCATGCTCTTAAACTATTGAAGGAAATGCTAAATTTCAGTTAAAGGTTTGTGAAAATTAAGCTATAATTTTTCCCCACCCATATTCAGAGATCCCCTGAAATTTATCCACAGATAAAGTCCATGGACACCAGGTTAAGATCTGTGTTAGAATGACCCTGCTTTTTAGAGCAGTCCATAGAAAATCAGTAAACATTTACTAAGCACCTATTTCATGTGCCGAAAAGGGAAGCTTTCTCACTGAAAGGAAGCCCACTCACTAACCCATCCTCTAGATCAGTAAGCCTACTTCCTGTCTCAGCTCAGTCAGGACCACAGGCCTCTTTAATCCCTGTCCTTGAGGCCATTCACCAGGAGCTCCAGCTCCTCCTCTCTTGCCCAGCTCACATCACTCTGATGCCTTCTCCAGCCATCTCCTCCTTCACCCCCACCTCACAGGAAGGGAGGCCCTTCTCTTTGCTAAGGCAAATCCCTCTCCAGGCACAAGTGATCCATTCCATTTCACCTCCTCCAACAGATCACTCCTCTATCATCTTGACATTCCCACTCATCTTCAGCCCCTCCCTAGCAGCCACATTCCTACTGCTACAAACATGTCCCCACTTCCTCCATCCTCAAAAAGCCCTCACTTGATCCAATCGTCCCTACTCAGGGCAGCCTAATAGGTTTTCTTCCTTTTGTGGCTAAACTCCCTGAGAAGGCCAGCTACAACAGATGCCTCCACTTTCCTCCCACACCTACCTTTTTGCAGACTGCCTTCCAAACACATCGTTTGGCTGAAAATATTCCTCCAAAGGTCCTGATGCACTCTCTTTTTTTTTTCCTTTTTGATGAGGCAACTCGGGTTAAGTGACTTGCTAGTCAGTGTTATGTGTCTGAGACTGGATTTGAACTCAGGTCCTCCTGACTCCAAGACTGGAGCTCTATGCACTGCACCACCTAGCTGCCCCACCTAATGCACTCTTGATTGCTTAAATCCAATGGCCTTTTCTCAACCTTCATTCTTTTTGATGTCTCTGTAGCCAATCACCCTCTTCTTTTTTTTTTATGGTTTAAAAGTTTACTTAAAGGCAGCCTGTGTATTTAAGAATGTAACACATTTGTCACAACAGAAAAAATACAACTTTCTCCTATTTGGGTAAAACCTACAGGTTTTCAAGGTCACCGGGATTGCTATGCTGGGTAATTTCTAAGCAACACCTGCTGGCCTGCCATCATTCTTCCCTCGACAGAAAATGATAGTTGAGGTGAAAGTCCTTTTTAAATTCACAAGCAGAGTTGGGGTCCACTATGGACCAATGAGTCTGAGCACATCTGGCCCCTTATTTTATGGACCATCTTTCAAAAGTGTCCACAGCTCAGGGAGAAAGGCCAGGGAGGAGCAAACCGCAGAAGTGAAAAGATGGCCTTTGTCTCAGCCTAGGTATGATAACAGTCTTCAGCTGAAGGGCTTCAAATTCATGTGCAGAAAATCTGAGAACTTCTTTTGTAAACTTTGCTTTTGCCATATTTCTGAAGGAGTTCTAAGGCTTGTTGCTGCATATCCAGACTCAAATAGCCAGAACACTGGGATCCAGTATGAAGCATTACAAGACAACATTCTAACACATCAGGAAAGGGAAATGTCTTAATGTTCTCAGGAAATCCAGCCATTTTCTTATTTGCTTCTGAAAGTCGTTTTGTCAATTCAGCCAGCGAAACTGGTTCATTTACTTGTCCTTTACTTTGGCTGTCAGGCCAATCACCCTCTTCTTGATACTCTCTTGGACTTAGGTTTTCAGACACTAATCTCTGCTGGTTCTCTGACTTGTCTAACCGCTCCTCTGTCCTTTTCTGGGTTCTCATTCAGGTCTGGCCCATAACGATGGGTGTCCCCTGAAGTTCTGTCAGGAACCTGTGGCCTGCTTGAGACTATTTCACTTGGTGCTATCCTCCACTCTTCCAGTTACAATTACCATCTCCTAGCAGACTTTCTCAGCTCTGTGTCCGGCACTAAACTCTCTCCTGACTTCCATTTCCTCATCTCCAGCTGCCAACTGGACATTCACAGGCAGCTTCAGCTCAGCATGTCCAACATGGAACTCACTCTCTGTCCCCCTCCCCAGCTCTCCTTTCCTCCCAACTCCCCTCTGACAGGGACGATGGCATCACCATCCTCCCACTCATGAAGGCCCCCAATCTAGGTATCATCCTGGACTCCTCACTCTTTCCAACTCCTTATATTTAATTAGCTGCCGAATCCTGCCAATTCTAACTTTTTTGGTCACATCTCTCTCATATGCCTCCTTTCCTCTGATACTGAAAACACCTTGATGCAGACCTTCACCCACTCATGCCTAGGCTGATTGGCCTCACTGCCTCAAGTCTCTCCTTACTCCGGGCCACCCTCCACTCAAATTGATCTTCCTGCGATGCAGGTCTCACCATATCACTCCCCTACTCAATAAACTCCAGGGGATCCCTCTTACCCCAGAATCCAGCATTCTGATTGGTTCTGAAAGCCCTTCCTAACCCAGCCCCTTCTGACCTTTCCAGGCCTCTTACACCTCACCCCCCTCCATTTATTGTGATCCAGTGACACGGGTCTCCCAGCTGCTCCTTGCACCGGACACTCTGTCTCCGGTTTTCACTGAGTGTACCCCATGCCTGGTCTCTTCTTCCTCATCTCTGCCTCCTACCTTCCCCGGCTTCCTTCAAGTCTCTGCTAAAGCCCCACCTTCTGCACGAAGCCTCTCCCAGGCCTCCCTAATCTTTGGGCCTTGCCTCTGGGAATGCCCCCGGTTTATCCTGAATGTAGCCTGTTTGCTTAGAGTTGTTTGCATGTCTTCTCCCTCATTAGACTTTGAGCTCCTTAAAAGCAGGGACTTTTTGCCTTTCTTTGTATACCAAGAGGTTGGCATGATGCCTGGCACATAGGAAGAGCTCAGTTAATGCCAACTGACTGACTTATACTTTAGGTATCCAGAAGCCAAAAAGCCACAATCTTGGGTCTCACCCTAAGCCCCCTCGGCGTTTTTCCTTTGTATCTGGGTGTGGGGGCGCGTGTTGGAGCGTAAGTTCTCCAGAAGGAAGGTTGCCCAGACCTGTGGCAGGTGAAGGGGCTGGGGTGATGAGGGGAAGTGCCTGAGAAGCATTCAGATGGGCAGTGAAAGGAGTGGGGAGGGTTAGCGTAGGGGCACACAGGAGGGTGTAAGGAAGGAAAATCAGCAAGAACTGGAAGTAACCTGAGGGGGCAGTCATCTAGTGTTATGTTTGAGGAAACTGAGGTCAAAGAGGGAAATAACTTGCCCGTTACCTGCGTATTAGTGGCCTGGCTTGGACCAAAAACTATGTCTTCTGATGCTCAAAGTTGTTGTCTTTTTACTACAACTTGAGATGGGACGGGAAGTGATGGAGAGGGGATGGTAGGGAGCAGGGAAGGGTTAGGGAACGAGGGGACAGGATAGTGGATGGTACTAAGCAAAAGGAAAGACTGTACCAGGGAGGTACAGCAGAGAGGCAGGGGCAGGGACACTGTGGGACAGAGGGAACAGAGAAGGGCAGGGTGCAGGGAGACAACAGGACAGGAAGGAACAGCAGAGAGGCAGAGGACAGGGGGACATGGGGAGCAGAGAAGGGCAGGGGGCAGGGAGACAGTGGGACAGGTCAAAGGCAATGAGAAACAGTAGAAGGGTGCCAAGCAGAGGGAAGGACAGGGCCACTGGGGAACAACAGAGAAGCAGGGGCCAGAGAGACAGGGAGACATAGGCGGAGAGCAGAAGAGGGGCAGGGAACTAGTAGGACAGGTCCGGGCCGGTGGGGAACAGTGGAGGGGGGCGGGGAAAGGGGACGGGCACAGCCAGGGGGCCAGGGCTCAGCGCTGGTTTCCGCCCCACTTGGAGGGCAGGTGGGGGTTGCTCCTGCCCCGCCTCTCCCCCCACCCCTTACCGATGCTGGGCCTCAGGTCCTCAAGCACGTCCAGTCGCTCCAGTTTGGCCAGCTTCTCCAGGAGGCCGCCCACGGTGGCCCGCTCCCGCGACTGCCAGGCGTCCAGCAGGCGGCCCGTGGGGTCGGGCTGCGCCTGCAGGTTCATGATCTCCAGGTACTCGAAGCCCAGCTCCTCGGCTAGCCCGGGCCAGTAGGCTGACACCTGGGTGGGAGGGTTGAGGTACAGCGACAGACGGCTCCTCACCCTGAAGTTGAGTGCCACCAGAGGCACATCGTACGTCTCGGGGACAGTGGTCGCGGCCTTGGCCGTGACGGCTCGGCTGGGGCTGGGGCTGGGGCTGGGGCTGGCGCTGGCCATGGCGGGCTCCGGCTTGGATTGCTGCTCGGGTGCCAACTACTTCCCCATCCCGCGATGCTGCCGCCTTCTTCCCCCTGGTCTTTCTACTCCTTCTCGTCGTTCTTCTCCGCCCCGTCCGGTTTCACTTTCTCTGCGCGCACCGCCCCGTCCGCTGCGCTGTCCTGTCTGGTCCTCCTCCCCAGTCCCGCCCCCGGCACATCTGGCCTCCAGCTGTCCTACCCAGGGCAAGCTGGACCGAGAGAGTGGACAAACTACAGCCCTGAGACTCTCTCCCCTTAGGCCCCTGGGAATCCTGGGGCAGAGGGTACTCTGGGAGGGGGGAGAGGAGAAGCCACGAACCCACCCTCTGCGCCCGACAGCACGCAGGGGCGGAGCTGGGGAGCCGGTACACGGAAGAACCTGGGAAGCATCCCTGGCTCCCAGTCTCCGGGGCCACCCTGCAAAAGTCTCAGGGGTTATGGGAGAGGAGATCCAAAGACATTAGGAAGGCTGAGCCGAGGAAATGAGGAGAGAGAAAGTCCACATCTGGCTTGGTAGTCTGCTGAGGTGGAGAGAAGGGGCGTCGGCCAGTCCCCTCCCCAACTTGGGGAGGATGGCGACCTGAGGTAGGGGAGAGGAAGGGCGATTTGACCAGATATGCTTCCTGTCCATCGGCTGCTCAGTGAGAAATGCCTTGGCTGCCTGCCTGTCATCTCTCTCGAAGGACATCAGGGTAGGTCCTGTGCCTTTGGCCAGGTTTCCTCAGCGCCCCAGGGATATACCTCTGGAAGACTTGGGAGGTAGGAAGAGGGGACCTCACAAGAATCTCAGAGTTGGAAGGGACCACTTCGGAGATCGAGTATCCCAACCCATATCTGACCGCTGATTACCGTTACCACCTCTCGCCACACTCTCCCCGCCCCCAACCTCCCTAACACACTTCGATGCTACAGTCAACAAGCATTTATTGGGCTCCTTCTATATACAGGCTGTCTAGGGATAAGAATGTAAACGATGGAACAGTCCTTACTTTCAACGGACTTACGTTCTAATGAGGGAGACAGGTACCTATGTAACTTCATGTAGCATTAATATAAAGTGAATAAATGAAGATACACAAAATAATTTAATAGAACGTAGTTAGGAAAGGAGAGCACTCACATGGGGGGAATCAGGAAAGGCTTCATGTGATGCTTGAGCTGGGTCTTGAAGGACTAAGGAGACTATGAAAAAGGGACAAGCAGAGAATAAACTTTAAAAAAATTTTTTTTATTAATTTATTTTGGTTTATCAACAATCACTTCCGTAAGCTTTTGAGTTTTAAATTTTCTCCCCCTTCCTCTCTGTCTTCCCAAGAAGGGTGTGCAATCTGATATAGGCTCTACATATACATTCCTATTAGACATATTTTCACATTAGTCGTGTTGTAAGCAAGAATTAGAACCAATAGAAGGAACCAGAAGAAAGAGGAAACAAAACAAAACAGAAGAAAAAATAGCAAATAGTATGCTTCGATCTGCATTCAAACTCCATAGTTCTTTCTTTGGATGTGGATGGCATTTTCCATCATGAGACTTTTGGAGATGTCTTAGATCCTTGTATTGCTGAGAAGGGTTAAGTCTATCAAAGTCAGTCATCACACCACGTGGTTGTTACTGTGTACAACGTTCTCCCGGTTCTGCTCACTTCACTCAGCATCAGTTCATGTAAGACTTTCCAGGTATTTCTGAAGTCAGCCTGCTCATAATTTCTTATAGCACAATAGTATTCCATTACATTCATATACCACAACTTGCTCAGCCATTCCCCAATTGATGGGCATTCCCTCAATTTCCAGTTCTTTACCACCACAAAAAGAGCTGTTATAAATATTTTTGTACATGTGGGTCCTTTTCCTAATTTTATGATCTCTTTGGGATATAGCCCTAGAAGTGCTATTGCTGGGTCAAAGGGTATGCACATTTTTATAGCCCTTTGGGCATAGTTCCAAATTACTCTCCAAAATGGTTGGATCATTTCACAACTCCACCAATAGTGCATTAGTGTCCCAATTTTCCCACATCTTCTCCAACATTTTACATTTTCCTGTTTTGTCATGTTCACGTTGGCCAATCTGATAGGTGTAATGAGGTACCTCAGAGTTGTTTTGATTTGCATTTCTCTATTCAATAGTGATTTGGAGCAGTTTTTCATATGACTATAGATGGCTTTAATTTCTGCATCTGAGAACTGCCTGTTCATAGCCTTTGACCATTTATCACCTGGGGAATGACTTGTGAGAATAAACTTTTTTAAGGGCCTACTATGTGCTAGGCACTTTACAAATATTTCATTTGATTTGACCCTCCAGGCAACCCTGTGAAGGATGTACTATTATGATCCCCACTTTACAGTTGAGGAAACTGAGGCAGAGGTTAAGGGACTTGCCAGGGTCACACAGCTAGTATGTGTCTGAGATTAAATTTGAACTCAGGTCTTCCTGACTTCAGGCCCAGCATCCTCTCCACTGTCTGACCTAGCTCCTCTAGAAGTCAACGCCTGCACTCCATGCCTGTCAAAGGCACAGAGTTGAGAGATGGAGAGTCCTGTATGAGGAACAGAAAGAGAGGCCAATTTGGCTAGATCAAAAAGTGGGCTGAATATGGGAGGGAGAGTAAGGTCCACTGAGATGAGAAAGACAGGTTGGGGCCAGGTTATAAGGGGCTTTAAAAATGAAATAGAGGAGTTCTTTGATTCTAGAAGCAACAGAAAGCCACTAGATTTGATTGAGTATGGAAGTTACATGATCAGCTTTCTTCTTACGAAAACATCGCTTTGGTAGCTAGTCAAATCGACAAGGATTTGTTAAGCACCTACTATGTGTCAGACACTGTGCTAAGCCTTTACAATGTTATTGCATTTGAGCCTCCCAACAATTCTGTGAGGTACCATTAAGGTTCCAATTTTACAATAGAGGAAACTGAGGCAGACAAGTTAAGTGACATGTCTAGGGTCACACAGGCAGTGAGTATCTGACTTTGGATTTGAACACAAGTTTTCTTGACTCCAGACACTTAACTTCCTATACCACTTAGCTGCCTGGAGTAAGGTAAGACCTCCATTTAAGGGATCTATTTAAGGTCCTAGGGATGAACACTCCACTTCTTGCAATGGGTAGAAAGTATTTTTTGTACCATGCCTGTGTTGTTTGCAAATATAGAGAAAGATGGTACATTGCCCAATACCTTTTATGAAGCAAATATTGTATTAATTTTAAAGCCAAGTAAAGATAATACTAAAAAAGAAATATATAGGCCAATTTTGCAAATGAATATAGATGCAAAAATAATAAATATTAGGAAATCAAACACAGTGATACATTATTGTGACTATGCATCATGGCCAATAGGGTTTATAACAGGCACGAAAGGTTGTTTCAGCAGCAGAAAGATAGAAAGATCATAAGCATACAACATAAACCAAGGGCCTCCCCCAAAAGGAAATTGTCAATAGACGCAGAAAAGCTTTTGATGAGAACCAGCTTTCATTCTTTTTTTAATTTTTAATTTTTTCGATTACCAAGCACTTTTGAAAATTAGTCTTTCCCCCCAACACCTCCTTCCCACTGAGCAAATTTTAACACACACATACCCTCCCAAAGCCCTTAATACATAGCTGCATGGTCCAGCAAAACAAATCTCCACATTAGCCATGTATGTCTCTCTCTTCATGATCAAATCCAACAGCTCTTTTTTAGGAGATGAGTGGTGGGTTTCATTTTCATTCTTTTGGACTCTCAGATTATCATTGCATTTCCTGGAGTTCTAAATTCTTTCAAAGTTGTTTTTCACTATAGGATTATAATTGTATGAATGATTCTTCTATTCACTCTGTATGAGTTCGTCCAAGTTTTCTCAGCTTCCACTGAACCTGTCCATTTCATAATTTTTCAGGGTATAATAATATTCCATTCCTTCACATACTACAATTTGTTTAGCCATCCCCCAATAGGAGGCCATCCCCTTAGTTTTCAATTGTTGGCTACTATGAAAAGAGCTGTCATAAATGTGATTGTACATATAGATCCTTTTCCTCTTCTTAAAAATTTCTTTGGGATGTAAACCCAGAAGCAATATTGCTGGGTCAAATGGTATGAACAGTTTAGTAACTTGGGAAGCATAGTTCCAAATTGCTTTCCAGAATGGAAGTAGTTTATGTAGTATTCAAATTAATTGTTGTTTAAATTTTTTATAGAATTCATTTGTTCCTGGAGTTTTTTCTTTGAGAGTTAATTTATGGCTTTAGTTTCTTTTTCTGACATTGAGTTACTTAAATAGCCTTTCTTGTTATTATGGCTATTTTAAAATTTTCTAAATATTCATCTATTTCCTTTAAGTTGTCAGTTTTGTTATATAATTTGGCAAAATGGTTTCTAACCATTTCTCTTATTTCTTCTTTGATTTTTGTAAGTTCCTCTTTTTCATTTTTGATATGAACAACTTGGTTTTCCTCTCTTCTAAGAAATCAGGTTAGCAAGCTATTTATTTTGCCAGTTTAAAAAAAAATACAGGTCTTGTAACTATTCTAATTAATACAATGATCCAGGACAACTCCAAAAGACTCATGCTAAAAAAAAATGCTGTCCACCTCTGGAGAAAGAATGGATGAACTCTCAGTGCAGATTGAAGCATACTGTTTTTCACTTTCTTTATTCTTCTTGCTTTTTTTCCCCCTTTGCGACGTGGCTAGTATGGATGTATGTTTTGTATGACTTCACACGCATAATGAGCATCATATTGCTTGCCCTCTCAATGCGTGGGGGAGGTGAGAGGGAGAAAGAAAATTTGGAACTTAGAATTTTTAAAAAATAAATGTAATGAATGAAAAAAGACGGGTCTTGGTTTTATAGATAAATTCTAAGGTCTTTTTGCTTTCAATTTTAAAAATATCTTCTTTGATTTTCATAATTTCTACTTTGTTATTTAGTTGGGATTTCTTTGTTTTTTTCAAGTATTTAAATTTCATGCCCAATTCATTGATTTGTTCTTTCTATTTTTCATTTGTATTAGCATTTAGAGATTAGTGTTTCTTTCCCTATAGAACCGCTTTAGCTGCATCCCATAAGATTTGCT